AGGCTCTGGCTTGATGCTTCCTCAGAACCAAGAACAACAGGGTCCAGACCTCACCTGTGGTCTCCAAGACCCTCCAAGACTTCTTCTTCCACCTCCAGATACTAACTGCCACATTTTGGACTTGATTTCTCCCGAACTTTGGGGTGCTTCAGATCTACATGTATATTTTTGAGGCTCAGACCCCAACACTACTACAAAATCAGTCAATTGGTACCATCAGACTCAAAATGAAAGAATCATTCATCAAAGTGATTTGTAAAACATTGGCCGCTGCTACCACCTGCAGCTGGATTTCCATCCCCTTAAGTGAACATCACATTCAATAGCCACCATCAAGAGACATTCAGCGAAAACAACCCCATCCTTATGAATTAGAGAAGGTGTCCAAAACCCCGACCCCAGCGCTGGAAGTTTAAACCTGATGAGGGGATGCAAATGTCCCTGCTCCAGACAAGAGCATCTTGGCGAACACGGTCGTGCCTCTGCATAGCTGCTACAAAATGCACCTGTATTCCCCAGGAAGGACAATAATAAATGACAACAAAAAGCTTTGAATATTTAGCAAACTCTCAAAAACTCTAAGGACTCTCGGTTATATATGAGCACAGGGCAAACTCCACGTCAGGCTTATTTGGAGGTTTCTGTGGCTCAGACCGGCCACTTCTCACCAGCCTGCTTTTACAGGGCTGGAGCACAGAGCTGAGCAGGGAAGGAGCTGAGTTACAAGTCTCTCCTCCGGTTTTATTCCTGGCAGAGACAATTTGCAGCAGTGTTGCTCAGCACGTCAAGTCTGGCACCTGCTTACAATAAATCCCTAATGATGTTGAAAAGTTAAACGTCCATTTAGCTTAATTTCTGTTTTAGATTTGGATTTCTATGCACTGTAAATGCTAAAAAGAATGGTTTTTTTGAAACAATGCCGCGTATTTACCTTGGAGATCCTCTATAATTGGCTGCCCTTCATCTAAGATTTCTTTCTAAACGCAAAAGGATGCTCTCAGCACAGACAGTCTACAGGGGAGGCTTTGCCACCATCACCTGCTAATGCTTTCAGGCCGGCTGAGCTCTTTCGAGCAGGCTCCCTTGCAGGTGGGATGGGTCGATGCACTACTCTTGGGTCAAAACCCAAGGGTTTTGAATCCCAGCAGACACTAATGGAAGAAAAACGCCTCATGGGGTGGTGTCAACCTGTGCAGACGGGAATTTGGGAGTCTTCGCTTTTGGGACACGTGTGATGGGAGAAAGCAAGATGGGCACAGTCAAACTGCTTAGTCCCGCTGAGCACGAACCTGCCTGTTGGCTGCACCGGCTGTATGGCTGAGAGAGGCTCCTCAACCTTGGAGGTGCCATGTCCCAGAGCTTCCCCTCCACGGCCATCTCTTCAGTGCAAACAGCTTCCTCGGGATCGGGGTTTCACGCAGCAATTAATGACAAGGTCAGCGCAGCCCATTCAAACCTCTCTCTTGGGAGCAGGGAGTCACCGGTGCGGAGGACACGCACCCGCTCTTACTGCCCCTGGCATGCACGAGACGGGCAGCCTGGCGGGACCCCCGTGCCACACCGTGGGGACAGTCCCCAGCCCCGAGCCCCTGGCCGGGACCGCGAGCAGCTGCGCTGGCGGCTGGGGAGCTCTTCCGCAGCCTGCCCGGGGGACAAGCGGCTGATGGGGCCTGGCTGTAAAACCTTGGATGACATTTTCCCCTCCACTCACCTTTGATCCTGGTAAGCGTGCTCTGGGCGCTGCAATCTGACTGAGAATCTCTCTGTGTGCAGATGTCCTGCAAAAACTACACCCACAGCTGTAACTCACAAAGCCCTCCCCAATCTGGTGGTTAGCGACAATAAATAATGATTTTTCTAATGGGAACTGGCCAGCATTCAACCCGCTCCTTGATTATTTTTTTTTTTAAGCAAAGACTATTTATATTGAGAGACTTGCAATATGGAAGACTCTTCAATTTATTCAAGATCAAAAAGCAGCCAAAGGGGGAAATTTCTGGAAGCTCAAGCTACGGCGACTCGTATCAGAGCAGGCAGACCCCAAACCAAGATCACAGCAACATCAATGCACACGAAGCACCAAAACCATGGGGTGTCCTGGCTCCTCGGGCTCCCTGCTTCGGGTCTTGTGAGGACACGGGTGGGTGGGTGAGCGAGCATGGGAAGGGGACGGTGCAGAGACGTGCCTACGCAGTGTGTGTTTCGGTCGTCATCACCCAAATCTCCCGCACGGTAGGTGACCCAGGACAGTCCGGCACACCAGGACCAGCACAGTGACCGGCACAACCCCACGGGAATCCAGTGGGGGATAGACATCCATCCTCCCGGTGCGCTCTGCGCTCCGCCAAGCCGGCAGGCTGCTGAGCCCCTCCTCTCTGACGTTCCCAAACTCACTAAGCTTTTTTCCTTACAAACGTGAACTAGGAAAGAAGAATAAGTTCACACTTGAAAAAAAAAAAAAAAAGACTTTTTTCTTTAAAGCACAACTTTTTTTGGGTTCCTGACAAAGCAATATTCTCCAGGCCAGTCGGAATCTGGAAAAATACACTTACTCAACCTAGCCACCATGACTCCAATAACAATTATAAAATGTCCAATAAAACTTGCATGTAATGTCAATTCAAATCTTGAAAAGCAGAATTAAGTGGTATATCAACATTAAACTTTATTGCTTCCTTTGCAGAGCAGAAGTATTGTCAATAAAAGTCATTCTGAATGAAGAAAAGGGCAGTAAATATTAAATAAACAGGTTTTTGTTGAAATGCTATAAATGCACCAGAGCTGCATTTTACACTGGGACCCTTTTTTCCTTTGCAGACTCCCCTCATGATAGAAATAAGTCAGTAATTGCAAACTATCAATAAAGCGCCAATTAAAGGGTGGTTAGATGCATGCATTTACAATATGTCATTATGAGCCTTTATTGTATGTAGTTGGCTTTTTCAGATCCCACTGGCTCCGTCTGAAGTCCCCCAGCACACAAACGGTCGTGCTGCTCGTTAGGGGCCCTTGGAGGAGCCGTGAGGGTGCTGGAGGCGCGCGCCAGCCAGAGAGCCCTGGCCGGGGGCCCGGGGCGCACCCCCCCGTGTACCCCAGCCCGGCTCCTGCCCGGGGGCACGGCAAGGACGGAGAAACCCAGGGCCGAGAAGGGGATGAGAGAGGAGCATTTGGTCAGGCTTTTTGGTAACTGAAGTTTCTTCTGGCAGAGATGGGAAGACAAAGCATCACCATCTCAGACCATTACGCTATCATCCTCCTGCCAATGCAGAAGCGAGCAGAGCACGACAGCTCTGCCCCGAGACTGGGCAGCTGTGCCCAAGCTGGAATTTGGCAACGTGACTTTGTTTACCGAGAGGCCGCTCACCGTGGTGTGTCCTGCTCCTTTCTGGGTCTATCTGCCTTAGAAAGAGCCATCACCATCCTCCCTACACTGCCTTACATGCAAAAGTATTTCCACTCGCAATTCCTGCTTGCTAATCTGATCTCCGTCATGTCTCTACACCCACCTCCTCCTGCAACGAGCAGCTGACAGAGATGGGACGTTTTGCTTTGTCCGTGAGACAAAAGAGCAGGTTTTTTTAGGGTTGGGCTGAATATAATCCTCCCAGTGACACTGAAAACCTCAAAAACCTCAGGTGCGATGCCCATCGCAAACCCAACTGGCACCTCATGGAGCAATGCCCCGAGACCTCTTTGGGTCAGAACTCTTCCGCCCCACTGCCGGGACCTCCAGCTGCCTGAGAAGATCCATCCCGACAAAACCAAACCTGACGCCAAAAGGTGTGCCGAGCAAGCAGAGGTACAAGCTGTATGTTCAGTGGTACCCAGACACAACGGGACGCGTTTTGGAAGCAGGAGAAGGAGCGGGCATCTCTGCGAGGGCACAAATCCCGCGGCTTTTATGTCAGCCCTTTAAAATCTGATCAGCATTTTTGTGGTTTACCAATAGAGTTTATAAGCTGTTCTCCAGTTTAATCATCACACGTATTTACAGGAAGCAGTAACAGCTACCGAGTATGAATTTCATGATGCTGAAATGATACTGAACAAACACCGCAGTCAGCAAGGGCTGAAAGCTGCACTTCTGCGAGTCAGAGTGGCTGGGGTTTAATGAGCTCTTTGAATTATCCTGGGGCAGCGATGAGAGAAATCAGATGTGGTCTAGGAAAGTATATACGCAGGAGCTTCTGTCCTCTGACTTTTGCACAGATTTATTTATTTCACGTACAAAAAAAAAAAAAAATCCACTGGAACATGAACGCCATTAGTTTTTGAAGAAATTATTTTCACTATGAACCTAGGCTCAGTAAATCTGGTGGTTGTAAAAAGCAGCTCAAACATTTTCAGAGATAAAGAACAGCCCCTTGAATGTTAAATATAAAAAAAAAAATCCCTTCAAAGGGTGAAAGATGTCTATAAAAATTAACTTTTGGAGAAATTGCAAGTATTCACCCTAGCCTTCCACAGCCGCAGGATCAGACCCTTTGCACTAGTCCTGGGCTGACATTTCTCTGCCATACATATGAATGGAAACCAAACCAGCGGCAAGGGAAACAAACCTCCAGCAACACAGTAAGAGCAGCCACGCCAGCGCAAACCACCGCCAGCGCGAACCACCCAAGAGCCAACAGTTAATAGCTGTGAATCATCTTGATTCACTTGAGCCTGAACTCTTGACCTGCCAATTGAGTCAGTTCCTCTGGATGCTGCTCCTGCTCGGACAAGATGGGCTCCAGTGAACCACACCGCTGCCGCGACGGCAGCGTTACCGCTCCTGGCACGCGTGCCCACGTCCTTGCTGCAGGTTACGGAGCTGGCGTTAGGAATGCGTGTCTGCATCTCGGCCACCCAGGTCCCAGCCCACCCTACGGCCCGCAGCCGCAGGCAGCTGCCGGGCAGCAGGTGCAGGCAGCGGGAGAGGTTCTACACCCTTTGAACACTCCCTGCTCCGTCCTGGGCGAAGACGTGACCCTTAGGAAGCAAACCCAGGAGCATCTCACCTGGAAGAGGATCTGCAAGAGGCCATGTACGATGCACATCCGCCGTCCCAGGAAGAGAAAGAACGGCACCACCAGCTCGATGAAGTGATTGACCAGGGTCTCGAACTGATGAAACCACCACGGCGAGCGATGCATGAAGTAGGCGATGGGGTTGGGCACTGGCTGTGTCTGAAAGACGGAAGAAGAAAAGAATCAACCCTCCTCCAAGGCTCATCATCATCAGGGGGAGCTACAGAGCTCTTGGCCTTTTTCCTTATTTCTTTCCCCAAGTTTGCTCACAGGAGAACCGTCCTTTGCCTCTGGGCACTCATTTGTTTTTAGAGAAAATGACGTCATTCAATTTTTTTCATGCAAACCCAAGGAATTTTTAAACCAAAACATCTTTTAAAAACCAAGAGTTTTAATTTTCTCTTTTTTTTGTCATAACCAAACCCCACTCATCTTAAATTAAACCCACTATTATTTAATACTGAAACGTTACACATAGCTCGATACCGACGGATGTTAAATTGCTCTGCACGAGTGCTGAAGATCATCAGAGCAACTAAGCAGATACAGAAACTGAGAAAAAGATTTTCTCAGGGTCACACAGTAGGTCAAACAGAGTCAGGAATGGAAACCAGATTTCAAAACCTAGGAGATATTCTTTCAAAATGTTTAAATTTGAAATAAATGTGGTGGTAGAGTTGCTTTCCAAAATCGTAATTTGGGAGAGGAAAGTGTAGTTCCTCTAAACATGCTATATTGGTTTAAGGTATTTACATACTGGCCTTGTGACAATATTTTTCTTCTATCAGCCTGAAATTTTTTGACACTGGGAGATCTTCCATCCAGTACAATAAAGCTGCAAATTTTACAAAGGAAACAAACCCAAATCCTGATATGTTAATAACTGCCACCCTTAGAAATGCTGCAATTTTAACAAAAAGAAAGTAGTTAACAATTTATCTTAGCATATCTGACAAGCTCAAATACATTAGTATTGTTTTAAAACTGTGACAGGAAAAAAGAGAGGATGAAGACGCAAATTTTAATTGAAGGAGACACAACACATCTTTAAATTATTTGTAGTTAAATCAAAAATACAAACAAAACAGGGAAAATACTGTACTATGCATGGCAACTGAGAGTGCTTCCACTGCCAAATCCCACAACTATTGTAATTCCTTATTAGCAAAGCTGGGATTAATAAAGTTGTTGCTTTATATGGGTTTGAGGCTGCTGTAACCCCTTAGGACAGGAGACCGCATCCTTCCTTCCTCGGACACCGGCGCCGGATGGAGCGGTGTCGGGGTCAAGGAGCTCTGCCAAGTCCACTCCGGCAAGGGGGCGGGAGGTCAGGGCCCCCCCCTCCCGGGGCAGCGGCAGCAGCCCCAGGTGCCACCAAGGGTCCTTCCCCTCCGCATGGGACCTGTTTCGAGTTAATCTCCTTGTTGGGCTGCTCTTGAGCATTCCCAGAACGTCAGGGAGGCTCAAAGAGATTTTTTTTACCTTGATCCCAAATTGCTGAGAAATGCTTTTATCCTTCCAAAAAGGCAGGTTGCTTTCTTGGCTTCTTCTATTATTTTTTTTTTAAGTGCCTTAACCAAAACCAACCTAGATGAGGAATCAGCCCTACAGGTTGTAACATTTAGCCCGAGATGAGCCGGTTTCCAGCACGTAACTGCCTGATTCTAACATGCCAGAGCTGCAGAAAGGCGGCACTCACGCTTACCCCCTCTTGCGATGCAGCCGCTGCCTGTTTCCCCATCGGCAGCGTGCCGCGGAGGCGCGCCTGGATCCGCTCCCTTCGACGCAGGCAGCACTTACGGCCGAGGACCACGGAGAACCCGCAGTATTACACATGTAATTACATACCTACTTACAAATGTAATTAAATCTCATAATGCGATGGCACTGAGCAGTTATACATTTGACTGTGGCTCTGCAGGGCTGGGCTGACCCTGTTTAATTTTAAAGCAAAGACCAGCCTTAGCTATCGAACGTGCCATTCGGTTCCCCCATCCCCTTCCCCTCCATCACAGGCTCACGTTGATGCCCTCATCTATCAAGGCCAACCGCAGCCAGCAAATCCCGCTTGTTGCTTTGGGCTGGGACTCAAGATATCGTCCCCCCAGTCTGCTGTGCTTAAGGGCAGAAAGGTGAAGCTCTTGCCTCTAGTCCCACTGCAGTGGGACAAGAAGCAGAAGAAAGTTCTTGGTTTGGGCTCATGTAGCAGCCACGTACGGGCTCGCGTGGGAACAGCCCAGGCTGGCCAGCCGGGTCTGCTGCGGTTTATGCTTTTTAGCAGCAGCCTAATATCTTATCCTGAAGTAGAAATGGGGAAAAAGGAGAAGCGAGGCACAGAAATTTGGCGTGCGTTAATAATTCACTCCCAGGTGCTATAGCATTGCCATCCTTCACCTTATCAGCGCTGACACTATCACGGTGTCACTGGGGGCAATGCTGTGCGACAGGCAAGATAACTCAAACGACAAGCAAGACTGAAAGTCTAAAACAGCAGCAGACACACCACAAATAACACACGGTTCCTTGGCATTTGTTGTGACAGAGGGAAAGAAATGCATTTGATAAGGGCAGCGCTGGCGACGGAGCCTCTGGGGACACCATCAGTAAGGGACCCTTCCTCCCCACCGCTGCAGCCACTTCTCCGGCGTGTAAACCTCAAGTACGTAAAACAAAACACAGCGATAGAGAAGTGATTCGCATGTATCAGAAATTCGTTAAAAGGCTGCTGGGGGAGGAGAGCGCTCTGTGTGTGTGTTCCTCCCAATGCCTTCCAGATGCTGCGAGCACGGGTGTAGCGCGGCACAGGTTTCCCGGCGAGAAAGCCGTGTTTACTCGGGAAGGGGTGTTGAGGCAAGAGCAAAGACCCAGAGCAACGTGTGAATCGCTGCGGCGCTGAACACCGGCACCTGTGATGCTGCAGAGCTTTCTGGTTTCTTTTTGTGCCCGAGTCGACCGCTGCCCAGGGGTGCTGGGGGCACCCGACACCCCGTCCGGTGGGTCCCGCCGCGCAGCACCCAGTTGGGGCTGGGAGAGAGCACCCGGGGCACATTACCGGGGTTAGAGGATACTTGCCCAACACAGGCATGCCTAGCGTTTTCCCACTGCAGCCGTTTCCTACGGAAACATCGCGGCGGTGTCAGAGCCCGGGAGGAGGGATAAACATTCCAGCATCACTTCACCCAGCTCATTTCGCTGGGGATTTTGAGCTTTACGCTTTGCTTCGTGGCTGCTTTGCAAGCAGCAGCATCCTAGGAAGCAGCCAGGAGTTCCCCCACATTGAGAACTGCTCCCGACACACACACACACACACACACAGAAAAATGCAGCTCCAAGTCAGATGCAACTAAATAAACAGGCCCACAGCAGACGTACGGTGAGAGGAACAGAGCCCTTGCCGTGTTTTCCCACTGCAGCCGTTTCCTACGGAAACATCGCGGCGGTGTCAGAGCCCGGGAGGAGGGATAAACATTCCAGCATCACTTCACCCAGCTCATTTCGCTGGGGATTTTGAGCTTTACGCTTTGCTTCGTGGCTGCTTTGCAAGCAGCAGCATCCTAGGAAGCAGCCAGGAGTTCCCCCACATTGAGATGTGAACTCCTGACACACACACACACACACAGAAAAATGCAGCTCCAAGTCAGATGCAACTAAATAAACAGGCCCACAGCAGACGTACGGTGAGAGGAACAGAGCCCTTGCCTCCAACAAGCCCCATTTCTGGATACCTCTGTGAAACATAAAATTTTTTAAATAAAAAACCGATTAGCAAATACTGGCTTTATGTGTCAGCACAAGGTGCAATATAATAAACCTTCTGCTTCCCTCACACCTCCAGCAGCCGGAGAAAAACTGTGCTGCAAATGCGTTTTGAAATCAGATTGGGGAAAATTAATTCCATAATTCACGGGGCAGATTTGTAATGTGTGACTGCGGGGCGACACTCGGCGGGGGCTGCTGAATGAATTCTGGGTCGCCAGCTAAGGCATGTTCTCTGGCTCGTATCTACCAGGTTTTATGAGGGCTGGTAACAGATTCTAAAAATATGCACAATAAACTGTTTTTTCTCCCTAAGGGGTCTATGGTTTAATTATGTTCTTAGTGAGAACCATTAAAGTGCTAAGTACCTGAAGACTCCTAATTTACTAAACTATACGCTACTAAAACCCAACAGAAGGCTATTATACACCAGAGTAAACGCTCTTCTCTGGGACTGTAAATGCACATGGTCTCTCCTCTCGGCCTCCTTATTGGTATGGCATTACATAAACTCTGACGGAGTATTTAATCCCAGTGTTAGATACCCCAGCTCAGCCCAGGGAAATCTCCAGGCTCTCCTACACGTGTGCATGAAAACAAGTCCCACATTGTCCTCGAACAACCCACTGCTCCGACAGGGCTGGGGATGTTATTCTTATAGCGTGAGCGGCACAACTCCCATGCAAGTAACCGTGCGGCACGGGAGTGTGAAGTTGGAGGGTAGGGAAGACCCTGTCCTCTCAAGTTCACAAACGAGGAGGAGCCCAGAGATATATTGAGTAAGTTTTATCCTTTGCAATGATGGGTTTTTACCTTCCTCCACTCCACAATAAACTGCGGCATGGCTTCAGGAGCCTCTGTTGGATCTGCTCGCTCGGCGGAGCACCTAAACAGCTCAAACTCACGAGGTGTCCTTCAAAAAACAGTAGCAAGTTATGAATGAATCTGTTTCAGAAAGGTGAACAAAAAAATCCATTATTCTTCCTGTTTGTATAAGGTAAACTTAGATTATCTATTGATTCAGATAACCAAAAGTATACTTGGCATTAATATTAAAACAACACTAAGGACAGCCTTTCAAAACATTGCCCTGGGTGCCTATCGCAGAAATCTGGCTTGGTGAAAAACAAAGCAAGCCTTAAATATTTCTATGCACTCTAGATACTATCATTTCTTTTTCCATTGAAAGGCACCTACTCAACCAAAATACTCATATCTGAGTGCATTTAATGGCAGAAAAATCTTGAAAAACAGAAGGAAATGGAACAGCAGCAAATATGAATAAATGATGAGAGGAAGCAAGTATTTGGTCAAAAGAAATAGGATTAACTTGGCTCAACAGACACTTCATTAACAGCTTGTGGGCACTGGAGGCTCCAACAGTGAAAAGAGAAGGAAGCCTT